TCTCATCACTGCAGTGTTATTCATTGGCGACACACATTTCGTGTCAATTATACTCGGAAATGAACACTCCATATGGGTGTACATCTTATGTCTGATGGTTGTTTAAAGTGTAGTTTGAATAATTGATGTAAACATTCTAACAGAGCGGGAAATTAATAATGACGGGTCAGTTACTTACGTAAATATAGCATAAAATAATAAGGTTTATAAAAACATTTTCTTCATGCCTCCATTCCTAGTGGACAAACAACTATATCTAATGAATGACATAATTAATTGGCCGAGTTCACTTATATAATTAATAATGTCGGCAGCAAATAAAAGAGAGTTAGATGTATTAGCCTAGTTCAGTGTATGGTCTATTATGTTTGGGAGACCAACTATCTTTAAAGTCATTCCTTTTGACAATAAAAGACATTTTAGCTTTCATATCAAAATATAAGTGTATAGGAGTTGTTCCATTATAACAAGTCTCAGAAATACATGCGCAATAATGATTTATATACTAAAGAAGTCTGGGCATTGAAGGTAGGCGCTACACATATTTCTGATGTGTTTAGTCCATGTGGTTTGCAGTAGAAAAGAGTCAGGCCTCGAGATCTGATTTAGGGCGTCGACAGTGTTACTAAATGTCTGACAGCTGGCTAGGTTTGTACCCTACTTCACGCGTCACTGATGTGTATGTACATAGTCCGGTCACCATGCCGTATGGTTTCACATACGTTAATGTTCGACAGTAGCTTCGTTACTTCCGGTGTCAACAAAGATAAACCATACGTGTGTTGCCCTTTGAGTATAACGAGTATATGTTCTATGACAAATCTAAACATGGGGTGAAGGAAGAATCTTTAATAGAAGTGAAAGTAACTGGTTAGTGCTAGTTGATATTATGGTGATCCTATAATTGTCATACATCGGTCTAGTTCAGTCTTCCGGTTATCAATAGTATTGACCGTTTAATGAACCATTTAATTACCATCTCATTTCCCTTGTATAGAAACAACAACTCCAACATTATCTATGATTCTGTACCCTCACTAACAGCATTTTCAATTGTCTTCTCTGTGATTTCCCAATCCTCTCTCGTTCGCTTTCTACCTTGCCCCCTTTCGTACTCTTTATCTTCATCTTCTTAGCTTCCTCCGTCGATACCGACGATTACGGAAGTCGGTCTTGTGTTTGTGCATTAATTATTATGTACAGTGATTTTTTATTATATTTTTATTATTTGCTATCAGATAAAATCAGGTTAAAAGAAGTGAGTGAGTGTTAGTTATGTTGTAGGTTTTGTATATGTTCGGTTATGTTATATGTGGTGCATGTCCTAATTCTGCTAGTGTTTCTGATTGGATTATTGTTTTGGATAGGAGGTTCCACTGTATTATGGTGTATGGAAAGAATGAGTGTCTGTACGTGTCTTTGGATGTGTAGATATGTCTGTAACTACGGTCGTGTCCTTGACGTGTTCTGGTGTCTGCCGGGATGAGATTGTTAGTGTTATTGCTACTTGTTCTTGTTCTGCGTGTGTGTAGTGTTGGCCATTGCAAGTTGTGTATCATATCTGTGACTGAGCTTGTGTTATGGTATTTGTTTAGGACATATCGTTTAGGATATTGTTTATGACTCTCCCCATACTGCCCCTCCCTGTCCCCTATCTCCACATTTACTTCCCCATCCCAAAACAGCAGATTTCTGTGCACTCTTAATTACTGGTCTGTATTGTAAGTAGGCCTAGCAAATCTCTCCCAATTCTGATATCCGCCCCTTCACAGATAAATATCTAACCACGGCTTAGGGAACGTTCGAGAGCCAGTATAAAACCCGGATAAAACTTCAATTACTGTCACTGAAACTTCACCAAACATAAATACATCACTTTCGGCTCTCACATGATCGCAATAAAAGAAACACCAAAAAGATGAATAATTTTAGTTTTTCTCTCTCTCCTGTTGATGGGTTTGATGTATCAAAGGCTCTACTGTCACGATACACTGCGTGAAATCCGCTCATTTAGACAAAATTGATGGGATTAAAAATCATTGCAGGCGCCGCAAATAAAACCACATATACTGGATGTCAAAGCTGATACCATTCCAATATATACATACAAAAAAATACGATAGCACAACAAAAACAGCAATTTAGAAAGGAAAAGTGTTACGATAAAATGATGTGGAGAAAGAAATTCGGTCGACTTTGTACCGTGATAAGTTATCAAGCCGGAGACTGATTAAAGCAAGACTGCGGGCTGTGTCAGGGTGCATCCGTGACCCTCACCTCACTACCGCCAAACACAGTCGTAAAAACCAACACAGAAACAACGCAGGCCACCAGTGTTCGCGGTAATAATAAATGCACTATTGTTCACTGGAGAGACGCTTTCTCTATATTGTCTATTTGGAGAGGGCTTGCTGGGGAGGGGTTAGTGGGCGTCGAATCGAGGAAAGGAATGAGGCGATACGAAGAGTAAAAAGTGAAAAAGTAATAGGGAAATGAGAATACATGAGAATAGTAGGGAAGCGAATCAAAAGAAGGGAAACAGTAAGAGTTAAAGGGAAGAAATGTAGGAAAAGAGAGAACAGAAAAAGTAAAACATCATGTGTATGTGTAAGGGGGGCAGCGGGGGGAGGGGGCAATGAGCTGAATGCGGGGGAGTAAAGGAAGAAGAGAACGGAAAGAGTAAGCGTCGAGGGGAGTGGAGAGAGAGAGAGAGTGGAGAGGGGAGGGGACAAAAAGAGAGGGAAATTACCTAGAAATGGAAGAGGAAGAGGAAGAGGAAGGAGAAGATCACGAGGAGGGGGAAGGGGGGTTAGAATGAAAACAAGAAAGAATAAAAGGAATTAAAAAGGGAGATAACAGAAGGAGGGAGAGGAGAGTAGGGAGAGAACGGGAGGGATTTGGAAGAGAAACGAGGGAGTATGGGATTCTGATGGAAACACATATCTAGAGAGGTTTGGTTTTATTTTGTTTAAAGTCCTATTAACAGCTAATGTCATTGAAGGACATGTGTGTGTTGTGTAAACGTATATGTGTGCCGGAGACAGGGTATGTTTGAGTAATCTAGAGAGGAGGAAAGGAGAAATGAGACAGCATGAGATGCTGGGAAGTGGGTGTTGTCGAGGGAGGGGGTCAGGGTGAGGGAACAGGAACAGGGCTGGTTTTGCAACGCACCGTTTTTTGGTAATATATATACATGCCATTCCATATAATGTGTGCTTTACCATGTTGGCAGAAATTGCTTCTCGTAAATCAAACATTTTAAGTACGGCATCTGTTTGGTTTTTGTGTCTGATCCTCTAATATATCACGGGTGATGTGACATAAAAACCGAACCAACTTGAGTCGCTTTACACTTACAAAACGTCACATCTGACATTTAACGTCTTTAAGGCCATTACATTACTTTCCCCTTTGGATAACATAATAAAATAAGAAAATTGTAATACCAAACGTTCCAACAAAGACTTATATCAGGATTACACAGTCCTTTACTGGTTTTAGTCCTAGTTTAAATCTGGTGATAAGTCAGTCTTTGTATATATATATATAATTCATCTAGTGGTGCTTGGCTTTGTTTTAACAGTGCCACACATACGGCAACGAACACATACGTAACGCCACGTTACTGACGACACGGGTCATATTGGTACATACGTCGCCTACCTCAATTAATCCCTTGCTATAATCGGACCACACGGACAGATCTGACAACTCGAAAGTCAACGACACACAGAGCTTGGTAATTAAAGTTATTCTTATCAGAAAATTACTGGAGAATAATACCTCATAGACAACGCTCGTTGGGCGACAACTGTTGATGCTGCCCCTCCTTTTTGTTAGACCCCCCCCCCCTGTGATCTGACACTACGGACCGTTACGTGATGCCGAGGGTAACATTTTCCCTAAGATATCGTTATAATCTAGATAGCGAACGTTCACTGTCGAGTTACTAAATTGCCTCCACTCAACAACACTTCATGTCAGGCGCTCAGGCGACAGTTAAGAAACTGGAGAAAAGACCTCAAAGATAAGCCGATTAAAAATGACGTCAATAACAATTTCCATGGTAAAATTGTTTTTAAATTGTCTTGAGAAAATGTTAGTGAAAGGGACGTTACATTATATTTATACCTAATTAAGATAACCAGAAGACATGAAATAAACTTGAGATATTTGACCATTCTATGGAAGTGATTTCTGTGTAGATATAGCATACGTATGGACATTTGTAGCTTTAGTCGTATGGCTTCATTTTTATCTTTTATATATATATACCGCGCGGCTGGAAATCATATCGTACTTGCTGTTGTCAATCTCACAACTGAAATGAATTGTGCAAATGTTGTTTCAATCATCAGGGCAGGCTGCATTTATATCCACAATATACACCACACACATGTGTTTTCCGTAACTGACATTAAATACACGATACAGGATGCCTGAGTCTAGTCAATGAAAACACTGACGCTTCAATAATTACTGAATATATCTGTGATCATTTCGGAAAATGAAAGTTATTTTTTAACCGTTAGTGTGTCATCTTGTAAATGATGTGAAATATTAGTTTTCGATGGCATTTTAATTAACTTAGAATGGAAAGTTCTGTTGTATGTAAATAGCAAACATAAAGTTCATGATGTTGCTATAAATTCCGCGGTAAAACCAATGTCAATAGCTCCATTTTGCATGAATTGACTTTTTTATAACTAACTAACGGCTAAAACGGAAATCTAACATCGAAACGGAAAAAAATCCACGCCCTTTGTCCCTCATTTGTTGATGTACGGCTTTGTGCATCGTTTTACTAATTAAAATGAAAAAGTTGGACCACACGTTAACTGATACACACGGGACATCAAAGTACACTAAAACAGAGCATGGGTTTTATAATAAAGTTACAATTACTAGTGATATGTTTAGCAACAAACTCATCAGAAGTTCTTAGCATTCGTTAGTAACCAGAAATAAATAAATAATAAATAGCAATTTGGGTTACTTACCAGAAATCAGAACCAAGGAGTAAAGAAAAACGCACAAAATCGACTTCATATTTTCCATAAGATGCTGACCGTAGCCCTAGTCGAGTTGTAATGTGTATACATATGTTCAGCCGAGTCTGGGATGGAAAATGAAAGTCACGTGACATTCACTGCCTGCGATCAGTTACGGAATATATTTAAGTGAAAACACGAACAAACAGTTGACATCTTAAGTGTGTTTACAACCTTCGAGTTGAGATCGAATGTCCAAAAGGGTACTGCAAAAACATATACAAAAAGTGTTACTAACACCAGAGGGCGTGGCTGTGTTTACGACATGACTCCGCCTAACGGAACTACACTGAACTTAAACGAGGATAGACGAACTTCAAAACCCAACAATACATTAGTATTGTTTTTTGTCTCTGATACAAGACAAATACAATCTGTTGTGGCTTCCATCTGAAGGCGCCAGCCGCCGACATCTGTCAAAATTTAGATTACAAATTCCGTGAAATAATTAAATAGTGATCGGCTGATCGTTAATTATATTGCATTAAAACATGTCGTATCTCCAGCGCTTTGTTAATATAAACTTATGACGAATTCTTTGATGATCTTTACAATGTTATTAAATATTTACGGTACTGAGGTGTATACTTCATCCCGCATTACAAACACGACGAGGCTGTTCCATTTCATGAAGCCGTTGAACAAGCAGTATCCGCTATATATGCCATAAAACAACCCTAATTTACATTATGTACGAGTAACAGTCTGACTTTAGATCTCCAAACACTTCATATTTTTTATACGTCTCTCTATTTCCATCATGGAATATTCAAGAAAAATACTTGACTTTCACCATTATGATGTGTTTAATGAACGATGTAACCTCATTTTGCTATGTCTTATTACAAACAATCGCCTCCCTAAGTAGGGAGGTTTGACCCTATGGATTTTAACGTGTTACTGACGTGATTGTTGGCCCCTGTATAATATCAAATTTCTTTATTTTACAACAATTATGAAACAAGTTATTTCAACTTATATTAATTACTCTTGTTGGCCCGGATGTTAGCACGCGGGGGTCTTAATGTGGGAGGAAAACCGAAGTACTCGGAGAAAACCAACGTGGTCGGGCAGCTGACCCCAAACCTTTTCACGTCCGATCAGGAAATCGAACCGTGCCTTGGTGAAAGGCAAGTGCGCTATTTCCTGCATTACCACCCGACCACCCCTTTGGTGTTTGTTAAACCACCTTTTTTGTTTATTTAGCCCAAAAGTTGTCTGTTAGGCGTATTTCGTGCCGATAAAGCCACTTGGCTATATTAAATCAATATAGTGTCCCATAGACCCCTCTTGTGTCAGTTATGCCCCTTGGCTTCTATTATTTCCCTTCGGTGCTTATTAGACCACTTTGGTGTTATTCAAGTCCATTTTGGTAAATATTCACATTGCCTTCCTGTTAGTTTTGGTGTATGCTTATCCCAATCATTGAGGCTCAATTATATTTCGTTTGATGTCTGTTAGAACGTAAAGCGTACACGAATGTGGCTGTTACGACTACATTTACTTCCGGAGAGCACATGGTTGCTCATGATAACCTGTCGGTTCCTGCTGTCGCCTTTTCGTATAGATTTTGAGTTCCGACTTCGTCCGTAAGTGTTGACATCGTTTTTTTTTCGTTCCTGTGTGTTGACGTTGTAATGTAATTTGCCCCGGCATAAACAGAAGGGACCTGGATAAATTCACCGTTTTCAAAATATGGATGTGACGTGTGACGATCATTCCGTCCCTGATGAAACGCTAAGACCAAATGTTTGGATCTAGAGTGACCTATGATTATATATATTGCATTACGTTCATTGCAGGAACATATGTTGAATCTGATGTATGTATTCCTTATGTGTTTAATCTGATGTATGTATTCCTTATGTGTTTAATCTGATGTATGTATTCCTGATGTGTTGAATCTGATATATGTATTCCTTGTGTGTTAAATCTGATATATGTATTGCTTATGTGTTTAATCTGATGTATTTATGTATTCATTATGTGTTTAATCTGATATATGTATTCCTTGTGTGTTTAATCTGATATATGTATTCATTATGTGTTTAATCTGATATATGTATTGCTTATGCGTTTAATCTGATGTATTTATTCGTTGTGTGTTGAATCTGATTTATGTATTCCTGATGTGTTTAATCTGATGTATTTATTCCTTGTGTGTTGAATCTGATTTATGTATTCCTGATGTGTTGAATCTGATATAGGTATTCCTTATGTTGATGTGTGTTGACTCTGACATATTATTTTCTTTGTGTGTTGACTATGTGTGATGTCCCTCTGTGTTGGCCCTTTTACAATTTTTGTATTCCTTTACCGTCTATGTGACATATTTTCTCTGAGTGTTGTCTATGTTATATGTTTCGTTCGTGTGTTTTTGCGCTATTATATATATTGTCCTTGTATGTTGTCTATGTTATATGTTCCGTTCGTGTGTTTTTGCGCTATTACATCAATTTTCTCTGAGTGTTGTCTATGTTACATGTTTCGTTCGTGTGTTTTTGCGCTATAACATCAATTTTCTCTGAGTGTTGTCTATGTTATATGTTTCGTTCGTGTGTTTTTGCGCTATCACATCAATTTTCTCTGAGTGTTGTCTATGTTACATGTTTCGTTCGTGTGTTTTTGCGCTATCACATCAATTGTCTCTGAGTGTTGTCTATGTTATATGTTTCGTTCGTGTGTTTTTGCGCTATTATATATATTGTCCTTGTATGTTGTCGACATTATGCATGTTTTGTCCTTATGTGTTGCAGGTTATGGGTCCTGTTCTCCGGCAGAGACAAACCAGAGTTCGTGCTACGTGCTGGTCTTGCTTGACGTTCAGCGTTAAACGGGTAGAGCTAAGAATATAACAGGCTTGATTATTGTGCGTGTTGCCTTGGCATGATATTTTACTGAAGTAGCATTCTGCAGTCGGCATTAAATCCGCGCAACGACAAAGAGGCAAATACCCCATCATATCGCCTCAAGTACATACACATTCACCATACACACGGATGCGCGTCCTAAAACACTTTATTCAATAAAGTAATAGACTAGGAATCGTAACGACGGTATGCATTACTACACTTTTCAATGCCTGTTGGCGCTGTGGTGTATTTTCCCCTGTGTGTTTATGTGTATTGACGCTGTATTATATTTTGTTATTATATGTTGCCGTTGTTATGTGAATTGTTCCACGTTTTTATCTACGCTTGGTCGACTTTTTCTCATTTTTTTGTGTGTTGACACTTAGCCTAATTTGTCTACGTGTTTTGACGTTATTTTGTACAGTTTGTCTTTGTTGTGTTGACGCTGTTTCCTGTTTTGCTAAGTTGATGTTTTCGATATAACCAGCAAATCAGAAAAAACAATATGAACAAATTTGTTTATTAATAGATATCATTCTGACACAAGCATATAACACTTTTTTAGATTAATACAATGTATGCTTCTTTCTTTCATAGATTTTTGTACAATATAGTAATGCACTGTTGCTACAGTATTAATAATCATTGTATTTACCAGAGAAGGGATGATATTTATCTATACACTGGTGATAAAACGTGGCTATGATGTATGTACTGTGTCATTGATAAAAATGGTATACTAATATAAGTACGCTATTCTTTTTATAGTACGTCTGTCCACGATCAATTAAGTGGTATCTGAATATTTTTTTAAGATGATAATTCTCGTGGCAAGATTGCATATATTCTTAAATAGAAGTAACTGTTTGAGTTTAAAGATATTATTTGGTATTTGTGATGTGTGATAAGTACCCAGCGTGATATTTCAGTAAATAATTTAAATAGACCCCTCCAAACCTGCCCTTTCTCCCCCGATTTCCTCCTTCAAAGCTCCACTGATGACGCTCACACACATCACTGTTCTCCGTACTTGTTTTTCCATCTTGTCCCATTCACTCCTTTGGACAATGGACCGATAGGTGGCAGTTTTACATTTCCGAGTGAACACCAGGTAGAGCCACTGTCTTCTGGCACTTCCGGGTTGGTGGTAGTAGAATACTGTTTTGTTGATGCGTCTAACCGACACGTCGTACCGACAATTGACGGGAGTTTAAAAACACTTTTTTCATTTTTCTGGTCATAGTCTTCAGATTTCTGTTCGTTTTCAACAAGTTTCGGTAGTTTGAAGGACATTGTGGCGTGCGTTTGCCCCATGGAGTTGCTGTTTTGCTTTGCTTTCTTTGTTGAAGCTCTAAATCCTGGTCGGTATTCTGTTTTATCTAAATATGTCAGCCTCGATTCAAGATTCATGTTTTCTCTTGCAGTGATGATATTAGAACAATTCACACCAAGAATGACCTCACTGACTTTTAAATTGGAACGCTGCGCACCTCCACCACCGCCACGAGGAACGCCTCTCAGGGGAGGTAGCTCGTACGTAAACTTGCTAGATTTAGCGCCATGTTCCTGCAATTGTTCCCCACATGGTATGATGATATTGGCCTTTTTTTTGTCCTTTTTCTTGGCGCGCTTTTTGGTATTGTTGTTGACGTCTGCAACGATAAGAAACAAAAGGATGTCTGAGATTATTCACGAGAAAAGCGTAGTTTTATAATAGTTGGGTGTCTGTAATCCTATAATAATTGTATCTTTGTGCATTATAGTCATTTATAGAGCAACATTCATTCAAACTTTGTTATACCGAGAACTCATTCAAACATCACACCATGCATATAGCCAGAATTTAAGTAAAACATTTCCTTCATCTGTCCAAATTCACTGAACCAAAATATTAACGAAGTCCCATGTTATGTACTAATAGGCCATGTACATATTTGAACCATTGTATTTCCAAAAATATATATACATGAAGCTATTTAAGCTACATGCGTTCTGACCAACATAATTCAATGCTTCCGACCTCTTGTCCACCGGTTTCTGGGAAGACAGTTTTATGTTTATAATTATTATTATTATTAATAATAATAATAATAATAATAATTCTAGGTTCTTATATACCGCTTTATCACAATTTAGTTGGTAGGTCGTCTCAAAGCGGTTCACAAATTATTATCTATGGTTATAGGGCCTTTGCAACCAGCCAATATCGTTCTCAAAACCCTGGGGAGCATACAGCCGGTGCTGCCATTTCGGCGCTCACAGCTAGCATTCTACAATTCTAGCACTGCCCAATCACGTACTGATTTACAGCTGAGTAGACTGGAACAAGCAGAGTATAAAAGTATCTTGCTCAAAGATACAACATAGTGCCGTGCCGTGCCACGAACCCACAAACGTTCGGTCACGAGCCCGGCGTCCTAATACTATAGACTACCGCGTCTACTCTATTTATCAGAGGAAACCCTGCAATGAAAGTCAGAAGACGTCTGGTGACATTGTGATCGTTTATTCTTTATACAAATCATGAAGATATTTTTTAAAAGTCTGTTGACTTCCATTGAGTGATTTCTCCATGATAGACACGAATTGTCCTCACACTAACCGATTGGACAAAAGTTAGAAATAATGACTTATTTTGTATCCCATATATTATGTGAAGTTTTCATATGTCGAAGTTTAAAAACGCCACGTTTATAGACAAAGGAACACCTATATTTAAAAATAAACAAATACTGTAAACAGACTTATTTGAGCACACTCAAATTTTAGCGCATTATCACATTTAACGGTTTATAGTACTTATGAACTGTAGCATTCACAGCATGCAATAGATAACAACATTCATGAACTTCAATTGGCGCATCGATAATTAAGCGCAACATTTAAAGCACGAAAAGCGCCAAAATCAGACTACCGCTAAAACATGCATGTTTAAAAGACTCATGAAACCTGAGAGAGAAAATACAACGGGGCTAGACCGAGATTCGAACCAATGACATCCAAACCCTAAGCTGAAGCTCTAACCAATTGAGCTACCTGGTCACAGATCCGGCCAAGTCCGCTACTGTACAATATGCCTATTGACCGACATTACTCCAAAGTTGTAAGATTTATTCTCCGGTTGGACCATAGAAAACGGGTTTCATTTGAGGAACTTGCCTCGTTAAACATGCTATATGTAAATCATAGAGTTAAACAGCTTCTTCTCAATCATGTTTTTAATATTCATCATCAGTGCTGTCCAAAGTATATGAACAAAGGTTTTATTAGAAATAACAAATAACAAATCTCGTTTTACAAGATCTTGTGAACACAATGTTTTAGAACAATCTATTAGGGGAGCTGAGTCCTCGACTTTTTTCTATAATGGAATCAGAGATTGGAATTCTTTACCTAGGTCAATCAAATGTCTACACACACAAAAAAACATCAATTTGAACTTCCGATTAAAACATCACTTAATGGAAATAGCGAAAATGGAACATCAAAACGAATATGTCTTTGTATAATATTTGATTATCCTCTACCACTAATTATTGTATTCATTATAAGAACCATCCCATCATCTTGACCGGTTGCTAATATTTTTCCAAAGCACCCCATTGGAAATAAGTTTTTTCAAAACTTTCATGGGCCATCCTAGGTAAAAGATTACCAGTTCAAGATTAATCACTGTCTGTACCGCCAACATTGTATATGGTACATACAAACTGTGATAATACTACTACCTAGTGCTAAATATATGCTTTTTACTTGAAATAATATAATTTTTAGTCATATGCATTTTGTAATATCTGAAGGTTAGTCTTTTATCAAATACCATTCTGTGATCTCAATGCTTGTGTTAAGTAATTTTATGTCTGCCATGTATCTTTTACCTGAATAAACATTAGTATTATTATATAAACTTATTGTAATTAGTGACCAATATAGATTAGATTTAAATGAACCTATGACGAATGTAATTATTTCAGAATTGACGTTCGAATAACCGACAGCTGACTGGCTTTAATCTCTAATTTATATTGAAAAAGAAACACAAATTTGACACTAATCTAAAGTTTAGTGAACATGTAAACCTGTCAGTAGCCAAACAGAAATGTAGGAATGATTTTTAGGACCTTTAGCTGTGTAAACAAGGAAATGTTCATAACCCTATATAAGCCTCTTGTAAGGCCGTATCTAGAGACCTCTGTTGTAGTCTGGGCACCCATGCTTATAAAGGATAAAATATCTATTGAAAATGTCCAAAGGAGAGCCACAAAACGTGTCCCTGGTATCAAAGACCTATCCTACTATCCTGAAAGACTTAAGGCTCTTGGGCTACCCACAATGGAGTACAGGAGACTCAGGTCAGACATGGTGCAAACTTTTAAGTTAATAAATAGGATAGATAACATCAAAGACGACTTTCTAAAAATCAATGTAACCAGAACAACCAGCGGTCACAATCAGAAACTAGAAAAACTAAGGTGTAGAAGTAATCTGCGTGGCCACTCGTTCAAATTAAGAATTGTAAACAACTGGAATGGTCTCTCTGATCAAGTGGTAAATGCCCCATCTCTGTTTTCCTTTAAGACCAGGTTAAATAAAAACTGGATAAATCACACCAACAAGTTTGAACCAAGCTTTTACTAACTAGCTGGGGTAACACATACAGGCTTCTCTAATGTCAAATTTAAATTCAGTATTTTTTAACCCATGGAACCTTTTAATATCTATACTTCCTAGTATAGCCCATTGACATGTCTGTGACTAATTAACCACAATGTGTGTATCCATACTAAATAGTAAAACAACTCTCTATTATCATTTTTTTGAGACTTGTGATCTATACAGGCCGGTCAGTCCTGTTTTATAACTGAATACTCTTATTTTATATAAATCAGGATGCAACTTTTGTTACTACCCACTGCACATGTACATAAATTTCACTAGTTTTAGAGAAATAAAGTCCTCTTCAAATGCCTCCAAATGCAACCGGAAGTGAAGTGGACGGTATTAAGAAGCACCTCAAGAAGCGACTAGACGCTTACAACGGTGTCACCTGCAATGAACCAATGAACCAACAAATACGGAGTGCTCCTCTCAGCTAAGCACTTTACTCACCCCTTCGTTTGGTGTTGATCTGAGATGTGGTCAGTAGAGCTGACCAGGGGTTGTTGTCTGGACATGTCAACGGATTGTGTCCATCACCACTTCCGGGAGTTGAAATGACCGATCTGATGTACGTGGTCTTAGCTTGCCCGCAACGTGACACATTACTCTCCTCCTCAAATGACATGTTTGTTTCTAAGATTCGTTTTCGGGAATTGCGGGAGTACGACAAAGATGGGTCAATGTAAGCTTGACCTGGACTGTATATCTTGTCCGCACATAGATCAGGTTCATTGGTTGCGTTCATGCACAGATCACCATGCGCGTCCCCACACATATAGACGTGTCCGTTCGTACACATACATGTATCTCCATGTCCGTCCATATATTTGGCTATGGCGATATCTCAATACGGACGGACTGCATCAGGCGGTAGCTATGGAATGGTTTAGGATAATGTAGCAATGTGACGTCACAGTGTTTTTGACGTCACGGATTTGTTCTACATATCGACGTATGACGCCAAAACAGATACATGCAGAGTTGTGCAGCATAAAGGCACCTATGTCGTCACATTGAAAACCATTTTTTAGGTGGTTTAAAAAAATCTAGAATGGTAAAGTTGACATCATAGAGAACATGGGTGGCGCGGAGGATAGCGGACCTGCCTTTTACCAAGGCGACGAGGTTCGATTCCACGATCATACGTAAAAAGGTATGGGGCTACCTTCCTGACAACGTGGGTTTTCTCCCGGTTCTCCGGTCTCCTCCCACATTAAGACCATGCGCGCTAAAATCAGGGGCAATATTTGAGAGCGATTAATATAAGTTGTTTAGAAATGTTTCATATTTCTTGTAAAAATAAATAAATATTGTTTTTAAAAAGAGGACACAATGTTAGGTAGGCCATTTGTTGCAGCACCAAAGAAGAACATTGCTGCTGTGAGAGCAATAATTATTGATGATAGTCGGTATACTGTTTCTGAGCCCATTTGATTAGCAGTTCAGAAGGCAGTACACATCACATTCTGAGTAAGAACAAACTATATACAACATACTTGTGATTACTGACACTAGTGACAGATTTTATAAAATGGCCCTCGTACAGAAAATGACATAATCTCAGAGGAGCTTTTCACCGACCTATATATACATACAAACAGATGAGCACACGGACATGTAATAATTTATTTGTAAATAAGTGATGTATATTATATTCACTTTTATATATGTACCATAGATTCCCTGTTCGCTGGGTATGAAATATACGGCAGCAGTCGCTCTGAAAACATTTCCACGAATTAACGAATAAAATATTGAAATATATTGTTGTCCAAAATGGCTGGGTAGGTTGTTCATATATACAGGTTGCTGTATACTTTCGCAAGGACAAAAACAATCGGGAACCGTCGGCACTTTCCGTAAACGAGAAAATACTCGTACACGGAAAGTGCCGACGGTTCCTGATTGGGACAATGTACGTTTGGTATGCTTTATCGTAACCAACATCATATAGCGTTGGAGGTAGATGTTGACCTTCAATCTTGATCTATTTAGATATTTTAGTTCGACGATGTTACGATATACGATGTTGTCAATCTCTCTACTCCCTCCGACAGATTAAAGTACGGCCTGTGTAGGGCCTTACTCCCTCCGATAGATTAAATTACGGTCTGTGTAGGGCCTCAATACCTCCGACAGATTAAATTACGGTCTATGTAGGGCCTCACTCCCTCCGACAGATTAAAGTACGGCCTGTGTAGGGCATCACTCCCTCCGACAGATTAAATTACGGTCTGTGTAGGGCCTCACTCCCTCCGACAGATTAAATTACGGCCTATGTAGGACCTCACTACCTCCGACAGATTAAAGTATGGCCTGTGTAGGGCCTCACTCCCTCCGACAGATTAAATTACGGTCTGTGTAGGGCCTCACTACCTCCGACAGATCAAATAACGGTCTGTGTAGGGCCTCACTCCCTCCGACAGATTAAAGTACGGCCTATGTAGGGCCTCACTCCCTCCGACAGATTAAAGTATGGCCTGTGAAGGGCCTCATTCCCTCCGACAGATTAAATTACGGTCTGTGTAGGGCCTCACTCCCTCCGACAGATTAAAGTACGGCCTGTGTAGGGCCTCACTCCCTCCGACAGATTAAAATACGGCCTGTGTAGGGCCTCACTCCCTCCGACAGATTAAAGTACGGCCTGTGTAGGGCCTCACTCCCTCCGACAGATTAAAGTACGGCCTGTGTAGGGCCTCACTCCCTCCGACAGATTAAAGTACGGCCTGTGTAGGGCCTCACTCCCTCCGACAGATTAAAGTATGTCCTGTGTAGGGCCTCACTCCCTCCGACAGATTAAAATACGACCTGTGTAGGGCCTCACTCCCTCCGATAGATTAAAGTATGTCCTGTGTAGGGCCTTACTCCCTCCGGCAGATTAAAGTACGGCCTATGTAGGGCCTCACTCCCTCCGACAGATTAAAGTATGGCCTGTGAAGGGCCTCATTCCCTCCGACAGATTAAATTACGGTCTGTGTAGGGCCTCACTCCCTCCGACAGATTAAAGTACGGCCTATGTAGCGCCTCACTATCTCCGACAGATTAAAGTATGGCCTGTGTAGGGCCTCACTACCTCCGACAGATTAAATTACGGTCTGCGTAGGGCCTCACTCCATCCGACAGATTAAAATACGGCCTGTGTAGGGCCTCACTCCCTCCGACAGATTAAAGTATGTCCTGTGTAGGGCCTCACTCCCTCCGACAGATTAAAATACGACCTGTGTAGGGCCTCACTCCCTCCGATAGATTAAAGTATGTCCTGTGTAGGGCCTTACTCCCTCCGGCAGATTAAAGTACGGCCTATGTAGGGCCTCACTCCCTCCGACAGATTAAAGTATGGCCTGTGAAGGGCCTCATTCCCTCCGACAGATTAAATTACGGTCTGTGTAGGGCCTCACTCCCTCCGACAGATTAAAGTACGGCCTATGTAGCGCCTCACTATCTCCGACAGATTAAAGTATGGCCTGTGTAGGGCCTCACTACCTCCGACAGATTAAATTACGGTCTGCGTAGGGCCTCACTCCATCCGACAGATTAAAATACGGCCTGTGTAGGGCCTCACTCCCTCCGACAGATTAAAATACGGCCTGTGTAGGGCCTCACTCCCTCCGACAGATTAAAATACGGCCTGTGTAGGGCCTCACTCCCTCCGACAGATTAAAATACGGCCTGTGTAGGGCCTCACTCCCTCCGACAGATTAAAGTATGTCCTGTGTAGGGCCTCACTCCCTCCGACAGATTAAAATACGACCTGTGTAGGGCCTCAATCCCTCCGACAGATTAAATTACGGTCTGTGTAGGGCCTCACTCACTCCGACAGATTAAAGTACGGCCTGTGTAGGGCCTCACTCCCTCCGACAGATTAAAGTACGGCCTGTGTAGGGCCTCACTCCCTCCGACAGATTAAAGTATGTCCTGTGTAGGGCCTCACTCCCTCCGACAGATTAAAATACGACCTGTGTAGGGCCTCACTCCCTCCGATAGATTAAAGTATGTCCTGTGTAGGGCCTTACTCCCTCCGGCAGATTAAAGTACGGCCTATGTAGGGCCTCACTCCCTCCGACAGATTAAAGTATGTCCTGTGTAGGGCCTCACTCCCTCCGACAGATTAAAGTATGTCCTGTGTAGGGCCTCACTCCCTCCGACAGATTAAAGTACGGACTGTTTAGGGCCTCACTACCTCCGACAGATTAAAGTACAGCCTGTGTAGGGCCTCACTCCCTCCGACAGATTAAAGTACGGACTGTGTAGGGCCTCACTCATTCCGACAGATTAAAGTACAGCCTGTGAAGGGCCTCACTCCCTCCGACAGATTAAAGTACGGACTGTGTAGGGCCTCACTCCCTCCGACAGCAGCCTGTGTAGGGCCTCACTCCCTCCGACAGATTAAATTACGGTCTGTGTAGGGCATCACTCCCTCCGACAGATTAAAGTACGGCCTGTGTAGGAGTGTATGGCCTCACTTTATTAAATACTAATTTGGTGTAAAGCCACTCCCTTACAGTGTAAGGTTACACTTTTAAATATCGATTTGGAGTTAAGGAACTCCCTTACGGTGTAAGTTAACACTTGTACACCAATTTTGTATTCAAGTTACACCTACTGTAGGTATACTTTAAACATTTCTATGCTGTGATTAACTTTACACCATAAGTGGTGTTATCATTCATTTTACACTGATAACGGAGTAAAATCAAACGCCAAAAACACCGATATGAGGTAAAGTTAACACTAAAAGTTTACAGCTGGAGTTATTCTGGTATCAGCGAAACTCCGCTGATCGCGTCACAATAAGCATGACGTCATAATAACTAATAAGGCATAATTGAAATACCCATAATTCTTTCCATAGCTACAGTATACAGACTTTTATGTCGGCTTGTTTTCTACTGCTACTACTACTACTACTACTACTACTACTACTACACAAAGCGACCGTCAGCTACTAAAGAAGTAAGAAATACAATGGATGAAGCAGAATTGAACGAACTGAGGATGTTGTCATCTTATCAGGGCTCATTTAAATCCAAACGTCTGAAGAAAACTATCAAGGATAAATGTTTGGTGATCGGGGAAACAACAATGTACTACGGGAATTTCGGATCCGTCCAGGTATTGTCTCCGATTCCGGGATCCCCAAGTCCAGACGGTGAAGCAGGGAGTGTTCACATCCGCCCAGACAGTCCAGAGGAAGCTGTTTTGTCACCTCAGACTGAACAACACGGTAAACGACACATTAAAATACCATTGCGATTATTATACTTACATCTATTTGACTTTTATATTTATTGAGATTTTAAAAAAGAACTTGACATCTCAAACTGAAATATCATGAGTTTTACCTATGCGATTACTTATTTTCAACAGTAACATCAAAGAAAGGGAAAATGGCCTCTTCAAAAAGAAAGAAGAGTACAGCGGGAGACAAGAAGAAGACATCTCAAAAGTATGGTTTGCCCCCATTAAAAGCTGCTCCTGCCAGCAACAGTCGACGACCACCACAGATGTCGAGAGGAAGAGAACCGTGCAGTTTTCGACCATCAGGCGACAACGAAACTAGGGAAAATGACCTCATGTCTACAGACACATGGATTCCAAAACCAGGCTTCAAACCAAGAGAAAAGAAAACAATAACAAAGAACGCTTTTACATCAGAGTCTTCAAACTTAAAATATGGATCTCTTGGTAAACTAATTGAACATACAAAAAGAGTACAAGCTTCCTCTTCTCTTATAACAGCTTCCTTAGGTGGTGTCCGCCTTCCTGCCATTCGTGGAGCAACAAGAGCCTCCGAAACCCGACAGACCTTTCCACCAACTGCCCAGTACATCAATATCTATAAGGATGATGGTCATCTCCCTCCCCTCAAGGTCAGCACAATGTCAATTGCCAACAGGAGATTGCATGACGAGCATGACGAAAACACAAACGGTTGCCACAGGTAGACGGCTGGTTTCAAATATCCAAAACTTGATTAGTCAATTAATCTTTTCTACTCTCTTTTTCAAATGACAATTACATTTGTGATTTGGAACTTTGTAAGATAATCCAAAGCACGTGTGTAAATTAAAACATTTCGCACGGGATAAAGTTGACAAATCGAACTTTCCCTACTGATATAGAGTTGGCCATCCGAAATACATCTTTGAGGATACGGGAAATGTGTTCACCCGAGACACATCAATGGCTACCACTCTGTTAAAAGACATTCACGCTACGGAGCTTTACCATTCCTTTCCTCGGGCCATGCATCCGTGAATCGGTAGAATACTATATGGAGCTAAGGTAGTTGAACTTTTAGCGGTGAAATCATGCCTACAGCAATCATCAAAATGTCTAGCCCACAAGCAAGATTGAACGCGATTCATCTTCTTTGGTCATGGTTCCTGACATGCATCACACTTTTCACCGGCAATGGGATGGAATGGAATCAAGGAAAAGGTATCATGATGCTGGTGAGATGCTGATAAATCTATCTGGACAGATAAGGGATGATTTTTGGGAATACAAATAACTAGAGGTATGGCTGGATTCGGAAGGATGCCAATACTTGATGACATAGCTCGTCGTTTCCGACGGTTTTAGGGATGACACTTGAGAGGACACGTGAATGAAGCTAACTTATCGAATAATGTATGATATTTTCTTACAATTTGGTTGTGGAACTAGTGGAATGTATGATGAGGTGACGGGGATAGACTCCCAAATCATGTCGAGTGATATGATTGAAGATCAAGATAGGAAACGTCAAACATCGCGAGAACTAGTGCACTGTTCGAGACTTTGATGATGAAAACTATTTGTTTTCAAACACTATTTGAAGGACATTTCAATGTTACATGTGTTCTTTAAATTGTTTTTTGTTATTATTTATTGTGCGTTATATTTTTGCTATTGAGATTGATGATGATTTTAGTTTTGTTTAATTAAAATTCTCTTTACAGACAAATATCTCTTTTTTTTTTTTTTTTATAACGATACATGTATGTATTCCCTAAAAAAAAGTTGGTGATATTAATAAGCTGCGGAAATCGTATCTCAAAGGTCTGTGGTCGATTTTAACTATTTGAAACATCATTTGTTGGACATGATCAAATATATATGCAAGTTTAAATTCTCAGATCTATAAAAGACCGACATACATTATCATTATACAACGTTATTATTTCACACCTCCTGATTGACTGGAATTGTGTACGATTCCCGACAAAAGAAAACTGGTACAAAGAGCTGATTGACTACGTGTTTCTGAAAAAAGATCGACAAGCGTTGATGGCAGTGTTATTCCTTTTACTGCAGTCTTGTACAGTCTGTAACATCCTGGTGTGTTGACGCTGTAGTACAAAAGGTCTTGTACAGTCTGTAACATCCATGTGTGTTGACGCTAGCGCTGTAGTACCAAAGGTGTCGACTTTTTGTTTTTGTCGAGGCTATGATAAACATGTTGTCCTTGGGTGTTGAAGCTATGATAAATATGTTGTCGTTGGTTGTCGAGGCTATGATAAACATGTTGTCGTTGAGTGTCGATGCTATGATAAATGTGTTGTCCTATGGGTGTTGAGCCAATGATAAATATGTTGACCTTGGGTGTTGAGGCTATGATAAACATGTTGCCCTTGGTGTTGAAGCTATGATAAATATGTTGTCGTTAGTTGTTGGAAAATATGTTGTCCTTGGGTGTTGAAGCTATGATAAATATGTTGTCCTTGGGTGTTGAAGCTATGATAAATATGTTGTCGTTGAGTGTCGAGGCTATGATAAATGTGTTGTCCTATGGGTGTTGAGCCAATGATAAATATGTTGACCTTGGGTGTTGAGGCTATGATCAATATGTTGTTCTTTGGTGTCCGAGGCTATGATAAATATGTTGCCGTTTGGTGTCGAGTCTATGCTAAATATGTTGTCCTAGGGTGTTGAGGCTATGATGAATATGCTGTCGTTTGGTCAATGATAAATATGTTGACCTTGGGTGTCGAGGCTATGATAAATATGTTGTCGTTAGGTCAATGATACATATGTTGACCTTGGGTGTCGAGGCTATGATAAATATGTTGCCGTTTGGTGTCGAGTCTATGCTAAATATGTTGTCCTAGGGGTGTTGAGGCTATGATGAATATGCTGTCGTTGGGTCAATGATAAATATGTTGACCTTGGGTGTCGAGGCTATGATAAATATGTTGTCGTTAGGTTAATGATACATGTTGTTCTTGGGTGTCGAGGCTATGATAAATATGTTGTCGTTTGGTGTCCGAGGCTATGATAAATATGTTGTCGTTTGGTGTCCGAGGCTATGATAAGTATGTTGTCGTTGGGTGTCGAGGCTATGCTATATATGTTGTCCTATGGTGTTGAAGCTATGTTAAATATGTTGTCCTAGGGTGTTGAGGCTATGACTAATATGTAGTTTTTGTGTCGATGTTATGGTAGATGTGTGTTATCCTTGTGTTGATGTTATGGTAGATGTGTGTTCTCCTTGTGTTGATGTTATGGTAGATGAATGTTCTCCTTGTGTTGATGCTATAGTAGATGTGTGTTCTCCTTGTGTTGATGCTATAGTAGATGTCTGTTCTCACTGTGTTGATGCTATAGTAGATGTATGTTCTCCTTGTGTTGATGCTATAGTACATGTCTGTTCTCACTGTGTTGATGCTATAGTAGATGTATGTTCTCCTTGTGTTGATGCTATAGTAGATGTATGTTCTCCTTGTGTTGATGCAATAGTAGATGTGTGTTGATGCTATAGTAGATGTGTGTTATCCTTGAGTTGATGCTATAGTAGATGTATGTTCTCCTTGTGTTAATGCTATAGTAGATGTATGTTCTCCTTGTGTTGATGCTATAGTAGATGAGTGTCATCCTTGTGTTGATGCTATAGTAGATGTATGTTTTCCTTGTCTTGATGCTATAGTAGATGAGTGTTATCCTTGAGTTGATGCTAAAGTAGATTATGTAATCCTTGTGTTGATGCTATAGTAGATGTATGTTCTCCTTGTGTTAATGCTATAGTAGATGTATGTTCTCCTAGTGTTGATGCTATAGTAGATGTGTGTTCTTGTGTTGATGTATAGTAGATGTGTGTTCTTGTGTTGATGTAGAGTAGATGTATGTTCTCCTTGTGTTGATGCTATAGTAGATGTACGTTTTCCTTGTCTTGATGCTATAGTAGATGAGTGTTATCCTTGAGTTGATGTTATAGAAGATTATGTAATCCTTGTGTTGATGATATAGTAGATGTATGTTTTCCTTGTCTTGATGCTATAGTAGATGAGTGTTATCCTTGAGTTGATGTTATAGTAGATTATGTAATCCTTGTGTTGATGCTATAGTAGATGTATGTTCTCCTTGCGTTAATGCTATAGTAGATTAGTGTTCTTCTTGTGTTGATGCTATAGTAGATGTATGTTCTGATTGTGTTGATGCTATAGTTGTTTATGTAATCCTTGTGTTTATGCTAAAGTAGATTATGTTCTCCGTGTGTTGATGCTATTGTAGATTATGTAATCCTTGAGCTGATGTTATAGTAGATGTGTGTTCTTCTTGTGTTGATGCTCTAGTAGATTAGTGTTCTTCTTGTGTTGATGCTATAGTAGATGTATGTTTTTCTTGTGTTGATGCTATAGTAGATGTGTGTTCTCCTTGTGTTGATGCTTTAGTAGATGTGTGTTCTCCTTGTGTTGATGCTTTAGTAGATGTGTGTTCTCCTTGTGTTGATGCTATAGTAAATGTATGTTCTCCTTGTGTTGATGCTATAGTACATGTCTGTTCTCACTGTGTTGATGCTATAGTAGATGTATGTTCTGATTGTGTTGATGCTATAGTTGTTTATGTAATCCTTGTGTTTATGCTAAAGTAGATTATGTTCTCCGTGTGTTGATGCTATTGGAGATTATTTAATCCTTGAGCTGATGTTATAGTAGATGTGTGTTCTTCTTGTGTTGATGCTATAGTAGATTATGTAATCCTTGTGTTGATGCTATAGTATATATATGTTCTCCTTGCTTTGATTCTATAATAGATGTGTGTTCTCCTTGTGTTGATGCTTTAGTAGATGTGTGTTCTCCTTGTGTTGATGCTATAGTAGATTATGTAATCCTTGTGTTGATGCTATAGTAGATATATGTTCTCCTTGTGTTGATTCTATAGTAGATTATGTTCTCCTTGTGTTGATGCTATAGTACATGTCTGTTCTCACTGTGTTGATGCTATAGTAGATGTATGTTCTCCTTGTGTTAATGCTATAGTAGATGTATGTTCTCCTTGAGTTAATGCTATAGTAGATGTATGTTCTCCTTGCGTTAATGCTATAGTAGATTAGTGTTCTTCTTGTGTTGATGCTATAGTAGATTATGTAATCCTTGTGTTGATGCTATAGTATATATATGTTCTCCTTGCGTTGATTCTATAATAGATGTGTGTTCTCCTTGTGTTGATGCTATAGTAGATTATGTTCACCTTGTGTTGATGCTATAGAAGTTGCGTGTTCTCCTTGTGTTAATGCTATAGTAGATGTATGTCCTCCTTTTGTTGATGCTAATAGTAGATGTATGTTCTCCGTGTGCTGATGCTATAGTAGATGTATGTTCTGCTAGTGTTGATGCTATAGTAGACTGTGTAATCCTTGTGTTGATGCTATAGTACATTATGTTCTCCTTGTGTTGATGCTCTGGTAGATGTGTGTTCTCCGTGTGTTGATGCTATAGTAGTTTAGTGTTCTTCTTGTGTTGATGCTATAGAAGATTATGTTCTCCTTGTGTTGATGCTATAGTAGATTATGTTCTCCTTGTGTTGATGCTATGGTAGATGTGTGTTCTCCGTGTGTTGATGCTATAGTAGATTATGTTCTCCTTGTGTTAATGCTATAGTAGATGTGTGTTCTTGTGTTGATACTATAGTAGATGTTTATTCTCCTTGTGTTGATGCTATAGTAGATGCGTGTTCTCCTTGTGTTAATGCTATAGTAGATGTGTGTTCTTGTGTTAATGCTATAGTAGATGTGTGTTCTCCTTGTGTTGATGCTATAGTAGATTATGTTCTCCTTGTGTTGATGTTAAAGTAGATGTGTGTTGTTATTGTGTTGATGCTATAGTAGATGTATGTTCTCCTAGTGTTGATGCTATAGTAGATTATGTTCTCCGTGTGCTGATGCTATAGTAGATGTATGTCCTCCTTTTGTTGATGCTATAGTAGATGTGTGTTGTCCTTGTGTTGATGCTATAGTAGATTATGTTCTCCTTGTGTTGATGTTAAAGTAGATGTGTGTTGTTCTTGTGTTGATGCTATAGTAGATGTATGTTCTCCTAGTGTTGATGCTATAGTAGATTATGTTCTCTTTGTGTTGATGCTATAGTAGATGTGTGTTCTCCTTGTGTTGATGCTTTAGTAGATGTGTGTTCTCCTTGTGTTGATGCTATAGTAAATGTATGTTCTCCTTGTGTTGATGCTATAGTAGATTAGTGTTCTCCTTGTGTTGATGCTATAGTAGACTATGTAATCCTTGTGTTGATGCTATAGTATAAATATGTTCTCCTTGTGTTGATGCTATAGTAGTTTAGTGTTCTTCTTGTGTTGATGTTATGGTAGATGAATGTTCTCCTTGTGTTGATGCTATAGTAGATGTGTGTTCTCCTTGTGTTGATGCTATAGTAGATGTATGTTCTTCTTGTGTTGATGCTATAGTAGACTATGTAATCCTTGTGTTGATGCTATAGTAGAAATATGTTCTTCTTGCTTTGATGCTATAGCAGATGTATGTTCTCCTTGTGTTGATGCTATAGTAGATGTGTGTTGTCCTTGTGTTGATGCTATAGTAGATGTGTGTTCTCCATGTGTTGATGCTATAGTAGATGTATGTTCTTCTTGTGTTGATGCTATAGTAGATTAGTGTTCTCCTTGTGTTG